CGGTAGCTGCTGATATTGGGGTGTCCCAGGTCCCCTGGTGCGCTTGTGTCAGGCCTTGGGTAGGGTGGGGACACTCTGGCTGCCTCCCCTGCAGCCTGGGAGCTTCTGGGTGCTTGGTGCTGGTTTCTTCCCACTTGTTTTCCAGGCACTGGGGAGGGAGGCAGAAGGATCTGGGGCCTCTTCCTCTCCCTGGACTTGGGGGAGAGGCCGGGGAGAGTGTGGAGGCGAGCCGTTGGCATGCTGGGTGAGGAAGAGGACGGGGCAGAGTGTACCTCCAGTGGGAGAGGTGGTCACACCACTCGAATCACCCCAGCTAATCCTGTGACAGACCTGACCTATATATGGGGCAAGGGAGGCAGCACGTCTGTGGCAGCAGATGGTGTCTTAAAGAGCCTGGGCCCGGGGAGGCTTTGGTTCTGCTGGTCTCTGGCTCTCGCAAGGGAGAGGACAGGCCGCCCATTGGCTGCGGAGCAGCCGGGTCCAGCCCGAGCAGCCCCCACAGGTAGAGAGCTTTCTGAGGCTGCTGCCTGGCACGGGGGGTCCTGCTCACCTGGGGTGTCACAGGTCTTAGTGGCTGGACTGGGGACCCCTTGTCTCGGCCCAGAAGCACTGACCAGCGCTGCTGTCCGTGGCTAGCCTTGCTGTAGCATCAGGGGAGCGTCGCTTGGGCTCCTCACATGGCTCTTCCAGGCAGAGCAGACCTGGGGCAGTGTGGTGTTGGTGGCTGTGTTTCTGAGATGGCGTGGGGCAGATGTGCGCTGAGCCACTTCCACACGGTCTAACCTGCGGCTGGACACGCGGTGCCCCGTCCTCACAGGAGCTGGCTGGGCAGGCTCGGCATGGCTGCACGTGGTGTGGCTGGACCCGGCTCTGCCACAGGAACCGTCCAGCCTGGCTGGGCAGGGAGCACAAACAGCCCCTCCCCGGCGAGCCATGCTCCATTGATGGCTTCCCCCAACGACGGCCTGCGAACGCCGTCCTGAGGACATCGATAGCTGCTGGCCGCAGGGGAGCTGGTGACGCTGGAGCGGGGAGGGAGGGAGCGTCTGCACAGATATCCACCATCTGTGGCCTCTGCCTGCTGCCGATGCTCTGCCCAGGATCAGACCATGTCCTGGCAGCCTTGTGAAGGTGCAGTGCTGCCTCTTCCCACAAATAGTGGCAAGGTCAAAGTGCAGAGTGCTGTTTTCCTCCTCTTCCCTCTAGTCCCCAGCTCTTGAAGCAAAGAGGCTGTAGTGGAGCAGACCTTGAGGGTGATCGTTCAGGTCTGGGCTGACGATTCAGTCCTTTGGCTGTTTCCTCCTGGGGTGCCTGTCTGAGCACGTGGTTCTGACCCTGTCGTAGGTCTGCCTCATGCCCTGCCGTGCTGCTTTCCTGTCCTGTGTGTCCCCTACCATGGGGACAGAAGCAGTTGGCTATGGTGCTGTTGACAGTCATGGCAGAGGGAGCTTGCTCCAGGATGCTCCATGTCCCAGGGGATCCTCGAGGCTGGTGTGGGTCCTCATGTGTGCCTGGATTCGGGGTGAGGTGAGAGCCAACAAACTGGTCTTGAGAGGGGCCTGGAGGGAGCTGGGCACGGGGCTGGGATGGGGCAAAACTGAATCTGACAGCTCATCGCAATGATGAGCCTATTGAATTGTTAAATCGTTGCCACTGATCTGAGGTTTTCTTTAAAAGGGGTGATGTTACAAATTAATTAGCTCCCTTTTGGTTGTTAGCACTTTAAAGCCCAGCTGTCAGGGGAGGGCTGGTTTATAGGCATTACATCAGAGCTGCCGGCTGGCTCGCTCGCCTACCTGGGAATTTCTAAGTGTGCGCTGTAACCCGGGGAAGTTTGGCTCGGATGCAGCATCTGGCTTTCAGCAAAGCCGCTGCGATGTGCTCTCCTGAGCACAGGGGTCTGACTGGTGCTGAGCAGTGCTGCCGGGGGCACGCGGGGAGCCGGTGGCACAGCCTCTGGGCGTGCAGCTCTTGCTGCTAGCTGCCAGCTGAGCGACTTGCTCGGCTGACCTGCAGGTGTGCCTCCTGGAGACGCCCCGAGGAGTCCCTGTTCCTTGTTTAGTCGAGGGGAGAGAGCAGGAGGCTCTTCTGAAGCAAAAGAGGCTTTTCTGGTGCCTGGAAATTCGAACTGGGTAGAGGTGCCCCGGGAGAGCTGCCTGTGCCTGGCAGGCTGCCGGTGCGGGCGAGGGCTCCGTGCCGTGCTGAGCGGGAGGGGAACAGCTTCTCCATCCTCCCGTCCCAGCGCAGGAGGGTGCTGGGGACCCGAGCTCCCACCTTCACCTTCCCC